CAACCATGGAAAGGAGCAGAGGTCCGGGTCACCTTGATAGAGAAGCAACTGGCTGCTGTGTACCACACCTTGCTGGCTACAGAGCCCATCGCCGGAACAGCTCTGACCAAGGTAATAACCTCCCATCCCATTGCGGGGTGGGTGTGAGACTGGACCCAAAGGCCATGGAGTGGTGTAGCATAGACACCTCAAAAGACAATGTGGGTCTATCGGTGTGGCTTGCCTTTCACCTTTGAAGAAGTCAGCTGAGCCTGGAAGGAGTACCCTGCACGTTGTGCGAATCAGCAAAACACCAAGAGGGGCCTAGAGCATCTCTCTGCAGCCTATGGTCGGTCACCGGTTACTGAGAGCGATCAAGGTATTCACTTTATTGGAAATGTGTTGCAAGGATGGGTGCAGCAATTAGGAGTAAAATGGACGTGGCTCTGGACACTTCAATACATAGATCGGCAATGGCTGGCTCTTCTGGCACCTTGGAGAAAAGGCCTGGAAGCTGGCTTTCTGTGTATTCCTGTAATAACAGCAAATTGGCCCTCGACAATCATGGTTGTTTGCTTCTACAGTCTTTGTGTCCTGGATGTGCCCCCTGGATGTAGCTGCCGCGTGATGGCTGGAATGGACGAGCTTTGGGCTTAATCTGCATGGGACTTTGAACCTAGCTGAATCTTCTGGCTTGAGAATTATGATTGTGTTGCTGTTGTCAAGAAAATAATGTTTAAAGAGAGGCTTGACTTTGATGTTTGGTAAAAGTTTTGTGAGCAATCTAGCATGATTGTTAGGAATGAGTAAACAAGTGTAGAAATGTATTTTGTGCTTAGAGATTGTGCTATAAAGTACATTTACTTGATTAGCATAGGCTGAATCCTCTGGCTTGAGGATTATCAAGATTTTACTGCTGTTGCTATTGCATGTTACTAGATTGGTCAGAAGAGGGGGATCGAGTAAATTGTAAAGTGAGATTTCTGGAAGGGTGGATTGTGGGTAAAACTGAAACATTTCCAGAATATCTCGCCTGGCTTTAGTATATCTGCATGTCAATAAACATTCAGAGGTGGAAAGAAGTATAGCTTTAGTTCATTTGCATCTTTCCTCAGGGGTGGAGAAGTTTATCTCCATATCAATGGGTAATTACCTGGGCAACAGAGGGCTTATCTGCACCTGAGAGGTGAGAGGGAGGGACGGTGTTGCTGCTGCTTGAGCAGGAGAAGAAAGAAGGCCTGAGACTGCAGTTTGTGAGCAATAAACGGGTTTTAAACTTTATTTCTCCCTTTGACTGATTTTGGTTTTTAAGGGCATTTTGCCCCAGGATTTCCTTTCCCCGGACTTACAGATGCCAAACTTTTTTCACTCTGATACATGTGCAAAATTAAATTTCAGTTCATGACCTTCAGTCTATAAACTACCAAAGAAAATGAAAAGATCTTATCAGCTAAATGTACTGCACATTTTATACACAATAATGCTTTAAAAAGGGATGTGGTTTGATTATATGGGCTACTGAAGCTTTTATAATGAAAGTTTTTAATCACTTTTTAGTTTCCTTAAAACATGCAGAAGCATCTAATGAGATAATTTACTTTTGTGGGGTAAATTGCAATATTTCCAGAATCCCCCGCCTGGCCTTACATTTACATATCAATAGGTGTTTCTTCCTGCAGCCTGTGGGACAACCGGTGGAGAAAGGTTGTTTTCCCCTCCCCTCTAGCATAACTGGTCTGGTGCCTGTCAGTTGCCAGGAATCCACCCACAGAGTTTCTTCCGGAAGGGGTGGGTGGAGAGGGAGCATGCTCCAGGATGGGAGAGATGGAGAGTGAGAGTGGCGGCCAGAGGGGAAGAGTGTATCCAGGCCTCCTCTTGATCAATAAATGGGTTTCTCCCAATCTAGCCTTTCCTTAGACTGATTTTGGTCACACGTTTATTCACCCCACTCTGGGAACACCTCTTCCCCCCGAAGCTACACCCAGCATTAATCAGCAGGAGCAGTGAACCTGAAATCTGTCTTCATAAGTGTGATGCTTGGGCAGGCTGCCCCTAAAGATGGTAGGAAGACACCAAGAAACCCCCCTGTGGATGGTGGGGACCCCACTGTGGATGGTGCAGCTTTACCAGGGAACCCTCCCATCCATGGGGCTCCCGCCTGGGAAGTCCCCAGTGGGGACTTGGTCTAGGATAAAGAGCCTCCTAGATGAGTGGGACCCTCCCCTGAATTGGGGGAGGGCAGGGACGCAGGAGGCCACAGAATTGACACTCCATGAGATAGGGGACTGCTTAGTGGGACTCAGTAGCTGCTCTGTGGGACAGTAATTGTGGGGTGAATATTTCCCAAGTATTGGAAAGGGTTACTGAGGAGAGAGATACACTTCAGCATACTTAGATAAGCTGAATGATGAGTTATGGGATGCTCTAAAGAAGGAAAGACAGCTATTAGGAACTGAGACAAGCTAGTGGAGAGGGATGCAGCAGGAGAATCTGAGCTCAAAGAGGCCATGGGGAAGGGAAAGGACAGAGTGGTGCCTTGAGCCACAGAGATAGTACAGTAGAGATCGGGATTGTGAGGGAGTGGGGTCAAAGGCAGAACTGTTCCCAAGGCCACTGCTCAAGGCACCAGCACCTCCCATATTAAAGCCCAACCAACTGTAATTAAGAAAGTAAAAACGTAACAACCATGGGTTCCTCAGAGGAAGGAGAAGCCCCTCCCCAGGTTGTGCAGCACTCCATGCTCCACCCCTATACCCAGGCTGAGCTGGTAGATTTGAGCATCCAGTTTCAACAGAAGCCATTGGAACCTCTGCCTACATGATTTTTGCATCTTTGGGACTTAGGGGTAGAGACCATTGTTCTGTCTTGTCAGAAATGGGTACACTGGTTTCACTGATGACTCACCCCTCCCTCCAAGAATGGTTGCAGAATTCCCATCACACTCCAGGGAATCATGTACTTCTGAATTGGCTGACAACAGCCCTTAGGGCAGTTTGGCATAATCAGGATGATTTATCATACATCCCCACTAGCTGGTAAATACCTGCAGAGCTTCAGCAGGTTTTACAGGAGTTAGGCATGAAACGTATCATTATTAGGCATGAAATGTATCATCTATAACATGGGCCCCCAGTGCCCCAATGAGGAGTTGTTCAACATGGGAATGAGAAATTTGGTGCTCCATACAGCAACCCAAGCACTTTTTGGGTCACTAGTGCCTATTCTTGCCCCTCACATAGGGCAACCCATAAGTGAGGTTACTCATACTATAGCAGATCTGTGGGAAGTTGAAACAGGAAGAGCACAGATGGAAGAATGGGCTATGACTGAAAGGAGAAGTTCAAAGGGCACTATGAAAGTCTGGAGGATCCAGATGTTGGTTGATTTGATAAAGGAGGGGGTAGTGAAAAAACTTGATGGGTAGCCCAATAGGATCTTGTTAGAACTGTGGCACCAATGAAAGCCAGAGCAGCAGTTACAGCCGCTGAGGTCCAGGACACAGAGGCCAGAGGCAAAGCCCCATGTCCAGCTTGTGTCCCTGCAAAACTTTCTGGGGAACAGTACTTAGGCTCCACCTGGGCCCTCACCCCCACAGAAGGACAATTGGGCATGTTGGTTTGACTGAGGTGGGGTCCAAGGCTTCCACCTTGGGGGATGTCATGGGGACAAGAGGCCACATGTAGAATTAGCAATTCATTGGTCCCCCATGAACGTACAACGTGAAACTGGCACTGGTGGAAACAGGAGCTGAATGTTCTCTGATTTATAGGAACTCTAAGTGTTTTCCTGGGAACCCTGCTGTGATAGATGGCTATGGGTGTAAGGCAAATTAGAGTGAAGAAAGCCCAAATCCCACTGGAGATAGGGCATTTACCCCCAAAGGAGTATACTGTGTACCTCTTTCCCATCCCTGAATATATTTTGGGGGCTGATATCCTGCCGGGCCTGTGTTTACAGAACACTGCAGGTGAGTTAAGACTGACGATAGGTGTGGTAAAGGCAGTTCTTAAGGGACATGCTAAGGACCCACCTGTACCTCTGCCTGTACTTCAGCATGTGACAAATACTAAGTAATATAAATTGCCTGGGGGATACAAGGAAATTGGAGAAACTCTACAAGAGCTAGAGAAGATGGGCATGATAAAGCCCATTCACAGTCCTTTTAAGTCTCATGTGGCCAGTGACAAAGTTGTATGGCTCCTGGCATATGACCGTGGATTACAGAGAATTGAATAAAGTCATACACCCTTTGAATGCTACTCCCCCCTCTATAGCAGACCTTAGGACACCCTCAATCATAAGCTAGGGACGTATCATTATGTGGTAGATCTTGCTAATGCCTTCTTTTCCATTGACATTGAGCAGGAAAGTCAGGAACAGTTTGCCTTCATGTGGGAAGGACGGCAATGGACTTTCACTGTCCTTCCACAGGGATACCTTCACAGTCTGACCATTTGTCACAAACCTGTAACACAGGACTTGGTTACATGGGAGAAATGACAAACAGTACAGCTATACCATTATGTTGATGACATGCTCACATGTGACTCTTTTGCAGATTGAGAAGGGGGCATTCCTAGACTGCTGCAACATCTACAGGAGAAAGGATGGTCTGTGAATAGCACCAAGGTTCAGGGTCTGGTTTGTCAGTAAAGTTCTTGGGGTTAGTCTGGTCAGGTAAGACTAAAGTTATCCAAAAGGCAGTCATAGACAAGGCTTAGTCTTTCCCTAACTTTGGCAATATTGCAAGAGTTTTTGGTTCTTTTGGGCTACTGGAGAGTGTTTATCCTACCCTTGGCATAAATTCTGAGGTCCTTATACCAGTTGGTATGAAAGGACATCAGGTGGGACCGGAATGAAACATGTGCATCTGCTTTTACTGCCATAAAACAAGGAGTCAAGGCTGTGCAGACCTTGAGTGTAATGGGCCCATCAAGGCCCTGTGAGCTAGATGTTCATGTAACCAAATACGGTTATGTATTGGGCCTCTGGCAGTGGCTTGAATGCACCCACCAACCTACTGGATTCTGGTAGGAACTGTGGAAAGAAGCAGAGGTCCAGTACACCTTGAGAGAGAAGCAACTGGTTGCTGTGCACCATGCCTTGCTGGCTACAGAGCCCATCACCGGAACAGCTCAGGCCAAGATAATAACCACCTATCCCATCACAGGGTGGGTGCGAGACTGGACTCAAAGCCCATGGAAAGTCATGGCACAGATGCCTACACTAGCCAAATGGGGTACATATTTACAGCAGCATATTGTCTTCTCCACTAGCCCCTTAAGTGGAAAACTCCAATGCTTACTGGGACCAGTGATGTATACCAATGGAAAGCAGGAAGAACTTGTTTTGGAGCCATTGGCAGCCAAGAGTCCTTATTGGGAGGGTAAAGCCCCTATACTTGAAGATGCTTGGTATACGGATGGCTCCAGCCATGGACAGCCCCCGAAAGTGGAGGGCTGTGACTTTCCATCCTAAAACTGAAACAATATGGATGGAGGATGGAGAGGGGAAGAGCAGTCAATGGGCTGAGTTGCAGGCAGTATGGCTTGTGATCACACAGTAGCCCTCCCCAATAGTTGTATGTACTGACAGCTGGGCCACCTATCAGGGCTTGACCCTGTGCTTACTGACATGGTACCATGCCAACTAGATGTATAGTCACTGGCCCAACTGGGGGCATGAGTTGTGGCAAGACCTACAGGCCTGTGATCAGACTAAGACAGTTATCACGTATCATGTGACTGGCCATTTGCTTTTGGCATTCCTTGGGAACGATGAAGCAGACACACTGGCGCAGGTGTGTTGGCTAGAAGGAAAGCCTGCCTCTGATGTAGCCCTATGGTTACATCAGCATTTGTTGCATGCAAAGCAAAAAACAATGTGGCTGTGAAAACTGTGCCAAGCAGGGGAAAAGATGGTGGCTAGAGAAGTGAGGCAGAAACCTCCCCCCAAAACCACATATAAAACAAAAATACAACAAATACAACTAATCCTGAAAGAGCAACTTGAGGATTGCAACAGGCTGCCCACATCTGGGGAAAAGTGAAGACCTCACAGAAAAGGGTAAAGTAGCAAGGCCACCATACAGTGAGACCCAAGCCCTCCCCTTACCCCAGCTCACAGACAAGAGGAAGAGAAACGGAAATGGGAGACAGTAGAAGCCCAGGGCTGCTAAACATCCACCCCTGGAGATCTGCTCCAGGAGCAACAACCCATATTACATGGTGCTATGGATATTAGAGGGGTTGGAAAGCAAGGGCAGACAGAACACTCAGAGATACTGAGATTCCAGCCACTTGAGAACAGGTACCCACAACCAGCTGCTCCGGAACAAAAGAAAAGCAGGTGCTCTGAAAGACTTTCCAATACTGAGAGGGTGCTAAAGGGGCAAGGATTACTCAGAGCTTACTTCTCAGGAGAAAGGACAGGTGGACAGAATCATGCCAGTACACTCAGCCCAGCAGGTTGGGAACTTTCAGGTGCTCCAGGTGATCCATCTCCCTAGCTGGAAATGCAGTGTTGAGGCCCTACTCTGAGAAATGCAGCCTGTCACTGCTTCCTCCTGGTCAGCACCAGTTCACACACCTGCTGCCCACACAATTGTGCCAGGCCAGCCAGAGGGTGGCCCCGCTTACAGAAGCTACAGGGGCATAGCACAGAGGCTCTTCCCTGCATGCTCCGTCCACTGGCCTTGGCAGCGGAGGCAAGCACTACAGCCAGGAAGCAGGAAAGAGCTCTTTCCTCCCACCAGGTGCTGACACCATTTGCCCATGACCCCTGCCATTGCTCCAAAAGCTGAGCAGCTCTAGAGAGTAGAGCTTCTGGGCACTAGAGGGCACCATCTACACAAAGTTTTTATTCCGTAGTAATCTTTAGAAATATGAAACAGAAAAGAAATCTCGTACAAACCACAATCCCTCAAACATGAGAAAGGGCTCAGTGAAAATAAAATCACCAATCTTCTTCATAAAGATTTCAAAATAAAAATCATAAACATGCTCACAGAGCTATAGAAAAATATTCAAGATCTCAGGAAAGACTTCAAGAAAGAGAAACTTTGAAAAATACAGTATCTGAAATGAAACATACAATGGAGGGATTTAAAAGCAGGTTAAATGAGGTAGAGGACACAGTAAATGAAATAGAAATTAGAGAACAAGAACATAAAGAAGCTGAGGCATGGAGAGAAAAAAGGATCTCTACAAATGAAAGAATAATCAGACAACTCTGCGACCAATCCAAAGAGAACAATATTCACATTATAGAGTTACCAGAAGAAGAATAGAAAAGGGGATAGAAAGTCTCTTTGAGGAAATAATTGCTGAAAACATCCCAATCTGGAGAAGGAAATAGTCTCTAAGGCCATGGAAGTGCACAGATCTCCCAACACAAGGGAACCTAAGAAGACAATGCCAAGACATATAATAATTAAAATGGCAAATATCAAGGTCAAGGACAGAGTATGAAAAGCATCCAGAGGGAGAAAAAAGATCACATACAAAGGAAAACCCATCAGGCTATCTGAGACTTCTCAGCAGAAACCTTATAGGCTAGAAGGGAGTGTCATGATATATTTAATTCAACAAAACACGGGCCTCCAAACAAGAACACTCTAGCTGGCAAGACTATCATTTAAATTTGAAGCAGGGATTAAACAATTTCCAGACAAGCAAAGTCTGAGGGAATTTACCTCCCCATAACCATCTCTACAGTGTAGTTTAAAGGGACTGCTATAGATGGAAGTGCTCCTAAGGCTAAACAGCTGTCACCAGAGAAAATAAAACCACAGTAAAGGAAGTATACAGATGAATTCCTAAGTAAATGCAAAATTAAATCAAATACACACAAAGTCAGTTAAGAGATACACAAAGAGTACAGAATATGAAACCTAACATATAAAGACTGGAGGTGGAAGAAAAAGGAGGGAAAGAAAAAAGAATAATCAGATTGTGCTTATAATACCATAATAAGTGAGTTAAGGTAGATGGCTAGATAGTAAAGAAGCTGCCCTTGAATTTTTGGTAACCACGGATCTAAAGCCTGAAATGGCAATAAGTACATATCTATTTATAATCTACCTAAATGTAAATGGACTGAATGCATCAATCAAAAGGCACAGAGTTACAGAATGGATAAAAAAACAGAAGACCCATCTGTATGCTGCCTAGAAGAGACTCGCTTCAAACCCAAAAACATACACAGTCTAAAAGTGAAGGGATGCAAAAAGATATTTCATGCAACAAATAGGGAGAAAAAAGCAGGAGTTGCATTACTGTATCACATAAAATAGACTTCAAAACAAAGTAAGTAACAAGAGACAAAGAAGGAAATTACATAATGATAAAGGGGTCAGTCCAGCAAGAGGATATAACCATTATAAATATCTACTCGAGGCGGAGCCAAGATGGCGGCATGAGTAGAGCAGTGGAAATCTCCTCCCAAAGACACATAGAGCTATGAAAATATAACAAACAAAACTCTTCCTAAAATAGAGACCAGAGGACACAGGAAAACATACAGAACACATCCACACCTGCAAGAACCCAGTGCCTTGCGAAAGGGGTAAGATACAAGCCCCAGCCCGGCGGGACCCGAGCACCACTCACCCCGGCTTCCGGTGGGTTGAAAGAAACTGGAGCGGTTTTTTTTTTTTTTTTTTG